TTCTGGGCACACACTACATGTACCCAGCATGATTTTTCAAGCTGTTGGGTTCAGGAATCAAACTGCCCAGTCAGCCATGTAGAATCCAGCTGCCTTAATCTCAACCTCCACACTACCTACCTACTACCTACAGGGAAGATGGACATCTAACTAGGAGGTGTGTGAATTAAGCCCTCAGGGAATCCACCTTGGGAGTGGCAAGCACAGCTGGAGTCACCAGATTGCACATCTGCTTTCCCAAACAGAGGCTGTAGTAGGACACCCTCCCACACACGGACGGTACATGTTAAGCTGGCAGGGGCAGGGAGAGAGCAGAACAGCAGGCTCACCTGCTGGGCCACAGTGCCTCGGAGGTCCTGCAGCACATCCAACATCTGGAAAATGTCAAACGCATGTACCACCTGGATCCTCTGGAGAGCTCCTGCCTGAAGGGGTAGGAAAGAGAAGCAAGGGCTTTGGATGGAGTAGTTGAAGGACACGATGATGAGAAATAAGGCTGAGAAGGAGAGGCAGGCAGGACATGAGGATGCCAAATAGGCTTTGTCCAATGGACTAGTTCTCACAGTAGTGGCTGCCTGGGTGCTGAGCTACAAAGCCAGCTACAAAGTGGTGGGAAAGGGTGATAAAATTGAATGTCTAACATGGGAAAGACAAGGGTTGGAAACATGACGCTGGGTGTTTGCCAGCCTGATTTAGAGAAAGCAAGGAGTTGAAAGGGTTTCTTGGAAGAAATGGTGTGGGTAACACCCAAGATGGGATACTGGCATTATAGGGGAAGCCTAAAGAATGCAGGAACCAACAGAATGGCAGGTGTCAAAGCAAGAAATGACTACTCACCCAAATGGCCGACCTTCTTGCACTGTAAGGGATAAGAGGGGTTGTTTGTTAAAGAAAGCCTATCATCTGCCCCTTACCTGTTCTTCCTCATCCTGGGTTCTGGCCTGCAGCAGCTGGAGGAGGCGGGAGGCCATCAGCCCACCACTGGAATCAATGTACAGGACATTCTGCTGCAGGCTGTGGGCCACATTTGCAGCCACACAAAGACATACCTGAGTAAAGACCAGGGGATTGGATGAACCTGAACCCCAAAGAGGGCCTACTTCTACCAAATCTTGCCCATTTTCCAGGGACACAAATGGGCCAAGTCCCAGCCCTTCTCCTTATTGGTCATCCTCTCTCAGTTGAGCTCTGAAACCATGAGCACCCTGGCAGAAGCTTCCCTAGGGACCCAGAGCTATGCATGTACCTCCCCCAATTCTCCCAGCTGCTGGTCTTACGTGTACCTGGGTTTTGCCGCTACGTGGGCCTCCTACAATTTCAGTCACTTCTCCAGTATAAAGACCAGCATCAAGCAGTTTATCTAGGCTGATGGCAGAAGAGGATAGAAGAGAATCAGTCCAGGAGGTTGGGAGAAAAAGAGGGGAACATTACCAAGAAAAGCAAGACATTCCTTCGAAGCACTGGTTTGCCCCAGAGACTCTGAATGTCTCTGGTCAAGAGGCTTCTCCTGGTTGAGTTGTCTTCTGGGAATGAGGACATGCCTAAATATTCCCCCTCTGGTTCTTCTTCATCCTCCCAATCTCAGATTAAAGATGGCCTCCCCAGGCCCTGTGGAATAGAAGCAACACAGGTGCCCTGCAAAGCTAGGAGCCAAGGGCCAACAGTTTGAGTCTCCAGACGTGCCTGAAAACATGTCAGTTGAGTGTATAGGTGCCCAGGATCTGGAGGAGCTGGGCAAAAGGGAGTGTGGTGTGATGAGATCCTGTCAAGGGAGTTTTTCTCTCTTTTTTTCTCTCTCACATACACACACACATGCTCTCCATCATGAGACGGAAAAGAAAAAAAAAAAGATCACCTCTCCAGAGAGGACTTTGCTACCCCCTTCAAAAGGTCTTCCTTTCATTCTCCATCTAAATCCCTTGTGAGTTTCCATTTCCTATAATTTGTAATTTTTTGTTTTAAAAAATATTTATTTACTTAATTCCATTTGTTGTTATTATTATTATTATTTAAATTTAACCAGAGAGAGAGAGAGAGTGAGTGAGTAAGGGAAATTAAGAAAGCAAGCCACCAGTTCCAGGATTTGAACTGCAGTTGCCCATATGGGAATCCAGTGCCTTTAACTACCACACCACCTGCCAGCCCCTATAATTAGTCATTTTTAACTTAAAGTAATTAGAGATTCACGAAGGTAATTTGTCTGGGGCCAGCAGGAGGCATGGTGGTTAAGGCGCAGGATTTCCATATGGCCAACAGCAATAAGAGTCCTGGACCCTGTGGCTTAAAAATCATGTCAGGCATGGGTCTAGCAGGTGGCGTCATGTTTGACAAGTTGAACTCCCACATGGCCAACTCTAGTTTGAGTCTTGGACCCAGCAGTCTGAAAATCATGCTGGGTGCACGTGCATGTGTACCAAAAATCCCGAGAAGACCAGAGGAGAAGGGACTGTGGTGTGGCCATTGCCCCTGGGAGGATGATTTCGCACTTTCTTTCTCTCTGTCTATTCCTGTCTCCCTCTGGTAAGCACATGCACCCTATGGCAACAAAGAGAAAAAAAAAGAAAGAAAATCACTCCTGGCATGAGCATGCGTGCATGCGCGCGTGTGTGTGCATCCCCCAAATCCTGAGAGGTGAATGGAGGAGAAGGGATCGAGGTGTCGTGGTCGCCCTTGGGGAGGTGATTTCTCACTTTCTCTCTCACTGTCACTGACAAGCGCATGCGCACCTTAAACAAACAAACAAACAAAAGAGTAATTCAGCTTCTCCACATCCTTACCAGCACTTGGTGTTATCATTACTTTTTATTTTAGCCATTCTGACAGGTGTGTCATAATACCATTGTGGGTTTTTGTTTGTTTGCCTGTTTGTTTTTAGAGATTTTTGCAATAGGGCTCATGCGCTCACTAGAGACAGAGAAACAGAAAGTGAGAAACCCCGTGAGGATGGCCACACTGCAATCTCTTCTCCCTCATACTTCTCCTGGGGTTTTGGGCACACACGCACACATACCCAGCTTGAGTTTCAAGCAACGGAGTCCATGACTTAACCACAGTTGACCATCTAGGAGTCTAGCACCTTAACTACTATGCCAGCAGTGTGGTTTTAATTTCATATCTCTAATAGCTAATAATGTTGAATATCTTTTTTTTTTTTTTTTTTGCTATAGGGCATGTGTGCTTGCCAGAAACAGAGGTGGGGGAACAGAGAGAGAAATGAAAAGTGGGAAAGCACTACCCTGGGGTCAGGGAGTAGGTGGCCATGCTCCCTCCTACCACATTCACCTTCTGGGATTTTGGTCACATACACACATGTGCCCTGTGTATTTTTCAAACCTCTGGGTCCAGGACTCAAACCTTGCAATTGACCATGACGTATCCAGCTGCTCCAACTTTCACGTCATCTGCTGGTCCTTGACTGTCTTTCATGTGCTCATGTGCCACCTGTATGTTCTCTTTGTTGAAGTATCTGTTCCTGTCTTCAGTCCATTTTCTAATTGGATTGTTTACTTTTTCTTCCTTTATTCTCCTCTCAGGATTTTGGGTACACATGCACACGTGTCCAGGGTGAGTTTTTTTCTTTTTTTAAGCCGCCTGGTCTGGGACTCAAAACTGTGGTCAAGGGACCAGCAGTTAACATAATGGCTATGTCGCTGGACTCCCATGTAGCTGACCACGGTTCAAGTCCCAGATCCGGTGGCTTAAACTCACGCTGGGCGCGTGTGCGTACGTGCCCAAGATTCCAAGAGGAGAATGGAGGAGAAGGGATTACAGCATGGCCATCCCCCCTGGGGGGTGATTTCTTGTTTTCTGTCTCTCTGTCTCTGTCTTTCTGGCGAGCACATATGCCCTATGGCAAAAACCTCTCAAGAAAAAAAACAAAAACTGTGGTCAACTACATGGGAGTCCAATAACATAACCATTACAGCAGACATACATGCAGGCACCCAGTGTATTTTATGTACAATCGTGATTTGAATTCAGGCCCTGACGGCTTGAAAACCATGCTGGGTGCAGGTGCCTACATGCCCCTAGTCCTGGCAGGATAGAGAAACACATGTTCGAAAGCTATCTTCTGTCCTTGTTTTTGTACCTTTGTCAGAACTCAGTTTTGCATATTTGTGTAAGTCTATGTCTGGGCTCTCTAGTCTATTCTATTTATCTATGTGTCTATCCCTCAACCAGAACCACACCTGTCTTAATTACTGTAGCTATAAAGTAACCTTTTTTTCTTTTCCTTTTTTTTCTTAAGGTTTCTGCCATAGGGATTACTGTAGCTATAAAGTAACCTTTTTTTTCTTTTCCTTTTTTTTCTTAATGTTTCTGCCATAGGGTGCGTGCATGTGCCAGAGACAAATAGAGAGAGACAGTGAGAGGGTAAGTGAGAATGCATGCATGTGCCAGAGACAGATAGAGAGAGACAGTGAGAGGGTAAGTGAGAAATCACCCCCTGGGGGGCGATGGCCATGCAGCAGTCCCTTCTCCTCCATTCTCCTCTCAGAATTTGGGGCATGCACACACACACATGTGGCTTGATTTTCAAGCTGCTAGGTCTGGAACTCGAACTGTGGTCTGCGAAGTGGGAGGCCAGCACCTTAACCACTATGCCACTTGCTGGCCCCCTACATAGTAAGTCTTAATGTCGGGTAGAGTGATTCCTCCAACTTCAACCTTCTTTTCAAAATTGTTTAGGTATTCTACATCATTGACCTGTCTATATAATTATTAGAATAAACTCATCCCTGTCTACCAAAAACAAAACAAAACAAAACAACAACAAAAAAAAAACCTTGCTCAAATTTTGGTAGAAAATGCATTCTAGACACCAATTTGGGAAAACCGATATCTTTACTATGTTGAGTCTCCCGATTTATTAATGCAGTATGTCTCTCCATTTATTTGGGTCATCTTTGATCTCTTTCATCAGCAATTGTTAATATTCAGCATACAGATCCTACACATGCTTTGCTAGACTTATACCTACGTAATTTTCCTTGGAGCAATTACAAATGGTATTGTGTTTTCATCTCGGTTTCCCTGCACTCAGTGAGTACAAAGAAGGGCAGCTGATTTTCTGTTGGTCTTGCACTCTGTGACCTTGCTGAGCTCACTTATTCTAGGTGTTTGGGACTATTAGGCTTTTACTTTGGTCTGTCTTTCCCATCTGGTCAAGAGTGCCCTTTGGCAAGGACTGGGCCTTGTCTTTACTGCATCTCGGGCACTAGCACAGAAACACAGGAGGCACAGCATAAATGTTACTATATAGAGAAATTCATGACAAACGGTGCTATTAGTTTTTTATTTTATTTTATTTGGAGAGATTTTTGCTATAGGGCACGTGCACTCACCAGAAAGACAGAGAGAGACAGAGACAGAGACAGAAAGCAAGAAATCACCCCCCACACACACAGGGGGTGGGGATGACCACGGCACAATCCCTTTTCCATTCTCCTCTTGGGATCTTGGGCACGCATGCACACGTGCCCGGCGTGAGTTTAAGCCACCAGGTCCAGGACTTGACCACAGTCGACTACATGAGAGTCCAGTAACATACCCATTACACCATCTGCTGGTCTGGGTGCTATTAGTTTTATTTTGCTCCTGTTTTGTCAAGATTCTGGCTAGGGACACCCTGGGAAAAACCTCTAGAAATGACAACTCCTAATTCAGGTTCTGTCCTATCAACTACCATGAAACAGGTCACCATCAGCCCTCCAAGCCCTGCCCAGCCTGGGCTGAGGCTTCTCCTCAGCAACGACCTACACCGATGTCTCCTTGGACCTTGACCATGGGCAGCCCTTTCCTGACCCTGAAATCATCTTCTCAGGCTGCAGTTCCATGAAAAGATGCTTGAAGACCTCCTGTGACCTCTCCAACTGGGCCAGGCACCTCTTTAGTAAGGACTCCATCTATTTTTTTTAAATGAGTTGGGGTTTTTTTCTACCAGAGTTATTTATTTAATTTTATTTATTATTATTATTATTTAAATCTTGCTATAGGGCACATGTACTCACCAGAGAGAGACAGACAGTGAGAGAGAAAGAAAAGGAAGAAAGCAAGCGGCCAGGTCTAAGACTGGAACCACAATCAGCCATGTGAGTCCAGCACCTTAACCACCTGCTAGCCCCAGGACTCCATCTGTTTTAATGCCAGGGAATGTGTGATTGTATCCAAGGGTCCCTGCCAGACAAATGCTCTGGTTACCACTCAAGCCCTATGGCTTCTTGGGATAATTGTGCTCACCCTGCTCTTTTTTCTTTTCCTTTAGAGAGATTTTTTTGCTATAGGGCACATGCACGCACCAGAGAGAGACAGAGAGACAGAAAGCCAGAAATCACCCCAAGGGGGTATGGCCACACTGCTATTCC